GCAGGAGAATCGAATGAACCCAGGAGGCAGAGGTTGCAGTGAGCCGAGATTGTACCACTGCACTCCAGCCTGAGCAACAGAGTGAAGACTCTATCTCACAAAAAAAAAAGAATATGGATACAAAATCAGTCCCAGGAGAAGCCCTCAGATGTCTCTCCCTTGTTCTTTTCCTAAACTCTCATAGCCAACTCTACCCTAAGGAGGCCAACCTCAACCTGCATCCGAGGGAAAAGAGTATGGGGAAACATGGGCAAAATGTTTTGTCTACCTAAGACAGTTGCTAAGAACCCTTCCTGTAAAACCTGGGTTCCTCAATATTCTATGTTTAAACAACAATATACCCTGGGCTAGAAATCACAGGTTTCTATAAAGAACTTGGGGCAGGGTAAGGACAAAACCTACCCACCTAAGTCAAGGGAGAAAAAAAAAAAAAACAATCTTAAGGAAACAGGTCCACATTCGGCCTAAAAATCTTTTTCCCAAAGGGCTGTAATGTTCTCAGAAGCAAAATATAATTTAGTTTTAATATGAACTTAAAATCTCCTTAAATAAATATTTACAGTTTAATACATAGTCCAAAAATGTCTTTGGGATCAAAGACAGCATTTTTATAGCAAGGTCTCATTCTACCATAAGAAAAGTAATCCCACAAAATTAAAATTCTAGAGGACAACAGGGAGAATTGGCTTCCTGTCTGTGACTCAGCTGTGAGAGGTAGTCAATTCTCCTGAATATGATATATATATTACCATGGCAGAACAACAAATCCAAGTCCAGCACAAAAAAAGCCATTTATTAAACTTATAAAACATGAAAAAATTAAGTTTCTCAATAACAGAGCACCCATGTTCATTTATCATACCAAAATTTAAAAATCAGTACACACTTATATTAAAAAAAAAAAAAAAATCAGGGCCAGGCACAGTGGCTCACACCTATAACGAATGCCACTGCTTTGGGAGGCTAAGGCTGAGAACTGCCTGAGCCCAAGAGTTCAAGAACAGCTTGGGCAACACAACAAGAGCATGTCTCTACTAAAAATAAAAAATTAGCTGTGTGTGTGGTGTGCACCTGCAGTGCCAGCTACTCAGGAGGCTGAGGTGGGAGATCACTTGAGCCTTGGAGTTCAAGGCTGCAGTGAGCTATGATCACACCACTGTACTCCAGCTTGTGTGACAAAGCAAAACCCTGTCTTATTTTTAAAAAGATTTAAAAAAAAAAAAAAAACCACAAAGGAAATAGGATTTCAAATAACTTGTTCTCGGTACAGACTGACAGGTATCAACCACAGCAGAGAACCAGGTGGGGGCCAATACAAGTAAGAAGCTGCATAGCAGACTCATTCAAGGAAAAAAAAAACAGTAGACAACAAACTTTGTAAAGGGTTTATTTACATTCTAGGGCAATGTTTTGCAAGCTAGTGTATCCAGAAATAATTTAGTAATGCACAACCAGACGGGCAGTTTTAAACATATCTTTACACACTGATGTTCAGCTGGACACTTAACAGCTTATGGATGGCTGCTTGCATACATTCTATGCTAATAACTAGAAGGTACTTCAGACTCAATACTCTAAAGGGCCCCCAAAAGTATGTGGGTAAGTATGGCTGTGGCACTTCAAATTTAGACACATTAGAGTTACATACACAATAAGAAAAAGCTTAGAACTGATGGCCCAAAGGTAGCTATAAAATATAGTTGAAATTTAGGATTTATAGTCAGGAGATGTAGATTCTATTACTTTTGTTTTTTTACCTGGGGGCAAATGATACTATGCTTGACACTGTATATAGAAATCACCACAGACCAGCCACTTATGCTTAAATAGTATTATTTAGGAGAAGTGGGGAGAGAAGTATTATAGAGGGAGAGGTGATATTTTCATTTTTTTCCAAATTTCTGATTCAATATATTTTATAATATGAAATTACAGAAGAAATCTTGTGAAATCTAGAACCACACAACTTTACAGGCTGCATATACATATGCTCTATTTCACCTTTAAAAAAGATGCAAATAAACCAAAGGAATATACCATCAAACACTTCTTAACGAAATCAAGTCCCAATGTCACCATTCTATCTATATTCAGCTCTCGATCTCACACTTTTAAATCTGCTACACTAGCTACTCATCCAGTGAAGCCGAATATTAAAAAGGTGATACTGCACCATCAACAAAGTGAAATTAAAATTTTCCACCCCACAGATGACAAAAGCACCTAGAACACTCTTTGAACTCTTCCTACCATGAAAGTTACTAACCCCTGGTGCTTAAAAAGAGTTGCTCTTTGAGAAACTCTGGCTATTCAAAATAACTCATTTCCCGCCTTTATTAAATAACAGCGGCTTTAGAGGTTTGGAGGTTTGGAACTGTAGGCTAGCTATACTTTGTTTTAAGCACTCAATTTTGTTTTTAGGAAGAACAGATCAGAAAAGAACAGCTGGTCAGAAAATACCCCCTGCACCCAAGTGAGGGAAGAGGTTGGCAGATCTCTTTGAGAGAAGGTAAAAGCCAACTTGCCTAGGCCCTGCCAGTGAGGTCCACTGGCCCCACCCACTCCTCACACACCCCTGCCCAAGGAGAAAAGACCACAGACCTGCTCAAGCCTCCCTATGTCTCCCAAGCACAAGAGACATCAGAACCCCTTGTGCTGGTCAAAAGATAGGCTCTACAAATCTAACATCTACAATTCAGTAACCAGAAAAAAAAGAAAACTAAAATAAAGTTCATTAATTAATAGAGTAAGCAATGTCTCTTAACCTGCTCTGTTGGATTTCAAGAGCCATTAAGCCACATGTGGCTAGTGGGCACTTGGATAGTGATGGGTCCCAACTGAGGTGTGCTATAAATGTATACTACACACTGGATTTCAAAAAAGAACATAAATTGCCTAATTAACATATGTGTTAAATGATGTGTTGAAGTGACAGGAGTATGGCTATAACAGATTAAATAAAATCTATTCTTAAAATTAATTTCACCGCTTTCTTTTTAGGTTTTTATGTGTATACTAGAAAAGTCTGTATGTGGCTCATGTCAGTTCTGGTGGGCAGTGTTGCTCTGGGGGCTTTAAGACTTCCCTGTCATTTTGTTTTACAAGTTTCATGCTAATCTTGCACTTAGTTAAAAGCCAGATTCCTCATCACCCCTAGCAGTCAAGTGAATTGCTAGAAACAGCTTAAGAAAACAGGCAGTCCTGCCTTCATCACATTTTTCTTCTTAAAAGTGTTATCTGGGTCGTGCATGGTGGCTCACACCTGTAATCCCAGCACTTTGGGAGACTGAGGAGGGTGGATCACCTAAGGTCAGGAGTTCGAGACCAGCCTGGCCAACATGTTGACACTCCCTCACTACTAAAAATACATAAATTAGCCAGGCATGGTGGAAGGCACCTGTAATCCCAGGGGGATTACAAGGGGTGGGGAGGGGTGGAGAGGACAAGAAAAAAATGAAAAGAAAATGTGGGGTATTTTCCCCCCAGCAAAAATCATGTCTGAAGTCGGGAGGGCAGAATGGAAATAAAGGATGACAGCATCCTGTCAGTGAAAGGCAAATGCCTGTGAAAAGTTCAACATGGCCCTGTCACATGAATAGGGAACAGACAACACAGACTGAAAAGGATGGTTATTACTGAGTTAAGGCCTTAACAAACAGTCGGTCTAAAAATGAATGGCCCAATCAACGCTCTTCCTGATTATTGAGTTAAGGGTCATAGTTCTGTTACAAAGACTTCTGTCGTTTTGTTGCTTTCACTGTGTCAGGAATATTGCTTACCTTTAAATGTAAACCCCAAAAAAATCCACAAAACAAGGCAAAGGAGAGCATTAATCACCATCTATCTATCTGCTCAGGTCAGATAGAGAGAAGCATCTGAGTTGCCCTGAAAATTAAGGCAGCCCACCTTTCCATACTCCCCAAAGTATGTTAACATGTGGTTACCCTCTCCTCGGCTCACACATGATTAACGGTCTTTCATCAAGAAGACTGAGTGTACCTTGCTCTAGTCTCACCAGTCCTCTCAAGAAGAAAACTTGGAGCCAAGTTAGAACTGAATATAAACAGATTTCCATTTTTAAGTAAATAAAATCTCTTTCAAAAAGGAGAGCGGGATGTATGCCTGATTAAAAGCCTCTCCCTTCAGAATTTAAAATCTGAAAAGAAATGGGTTTGCTCTTTCAGACTTCTACATGTAACCGATATGCTTGGGGGGAGAGGTGGAAGCTACTTCTTGGTACCCTATTCATGGAGATATTAGTAACTCATTCTTCTTCTTTATCCCATTCCAGGAAATACAATTAGGAGTAATATGTCTATATATCTTAAGTAGTCAATAATCTCTCTCCTTTACCTGCTTGACCCTGCAATGAAACCACTGCAGAAACCAGGCTTGCGAGCAAGACCTCCAGCTGAAAAACAACTAGAGACAGGACTTTTTCTATAAAAAGAAAGTGGGGCCAGAGGAAGTGGGAATGCAGTGCTAACTTTAGTTCTCACTCATTTTATTCAAGTCAAACTTAACACTAAGTCACAGGGGCTTCACTCTCCAGCACACATTTATTTGTAAACATTTTAGAGGGAGAAGTCAAACAGGCACAAAGAGGCTGAGTGAGAAGAAAGCCCAGGGTGGGCAGGCAGGCAGCATGGCTCAGGGAGCCAAAGAGCAGGAAAGAGGCAATTTATTCTAAAGGCTTAAGGAAAACAGTGCCAGTCCTAAGAGGCCACTGAAGACAAAAGACACACCCTAGGTTACCAATCCGATTTCAGTACAGCTTTGCTGCCTCCTCAGTCTGCCTAAAGGAATCAAGGTCAGAACCTGCCTGTACCTGCCTGGGAAGCCTCCAAAGGAAA